AAGTTCTTGATCTTATACAGCCCTAAAGGAATCTTAAGCGCTTTGTCCAAATAAAGCTTTTGTAGATTAACAAGTTGCACGAGAGTGTCAGGTAACTCCACCAAAGGATTCCCTTCGATATGCAATACCTCAAGACTGACAAGCTTACCAATGTTTCGTGGAATTGCATTGAGATTGTTAAACGAGACATCAAAGTACATAATCCCTTCCATTTCACTGATACTACACCGTACATATTCAGGTAAATATCTTATCTTGTTGTGACTTATATCCAGGTGGCACAGTTGAGGAAGCTTGCAAAGGTCTTCTGGGAAGACTTCCAAGTGATTTGCTCTTAGCGAGATTTTTCTCAGAGTCGCCATATTTCKGAATCCATARGGTAATTCTGTGAGCTCATTCTTGCTTAAGTCGAGCTCRATGAGGTTTCGCAAGGCGTTGATATCTGAAGGAATCGACTTRATTYTGTTRCCCTCCAGRTGGAGAATGTTGAGTGTTGCGATSCCAAAAACTGGGTATGGTATAGAARTCATTCCATTCTCTTCCATCGCGAGGATSTTGAGATGTTTAAGCTCGGTGATRCTGAAAGGAAGGTGTTGGACTCTGTTTCTTCCAAGGTAAAGTTCTCTAAGCTTGGAAAGTTGGTTGATTTTTCTGGGTATCTCTGTGATTTTATTTCTRTTCATRACTAAAGTCTCCAACGAATACAAACTGCACAACTCGCTTGGCATGCATATAAACTTATTATGTTCCAACGAGATAAATTTAAGAGAGAGAAAGCTGGCCAACCAATCRGGTAGCACTTTGAGATGGTTGTCCTTCAAATAAAGAATCTTAAGCCAGTTCAAATACCGTAGATTCTCAGGAAGCACATCCAGATCATTGTTAGACAAATGCAGCGCCTTGAGTTCAGTCATGTCCCTGACTTGCGTAGGAACATAGTGGATTTTATTGTAGTCTAACATTAAAATATCAAGCTTGTCCAATTGRCACACTTTTACCGGGAACTGGTTCAACTTCTGCAAACTCAAATCCAGTGTTAGCATTCCTTCCACGTCCTCAATTGGAGGAAAGAGCCTGGTAACAGCCAAAGGGTGACCGTACATATCAACTTCCGGTGCCGAAACCGCTTCCTTTTTTGCTTTCTTTGCAGGAGTTTTCATAACGACAGGKCGACGCGGGACGTCGACTCGCCACCCTCTCCATGTCATTTGTGACGGCGCTTTAGGCTTTTTGCCYCTCGGCTTTGGCTCACTGGGTTTGTTTGGCTTTTTAGGTTTCTTTTTCGGTAAAAARCCTGCTTTTCTTAGTTCACGTACAAGTATCCGCCATTTTGGCGAAGGGCGCAGTGCATCTTGGGTCTTTTGTTTGGCGCTYTTGGCTTTTCTGCGCATGCGCTCGGTAGCACCAGGYTSAGCATCATGCGAGTCAAGATATTCAAGATTTTGATCTCCTTTAAACATTTCCCGAAAATCTTCATCGCTATCTTCCAGATTGATCTCAGAAAAGACCGCAGTTTTATCCCGCGGGACTGTTGCGGGATTACYGCCATTTTCTATGGGTTGGACCTTCTTTTTCTTGTCCTTCTCTGTGTGCGCTTTTTTAACATCGCTCTTTAAAACCATTTCAGCCGAGTTATTCTTTAGCTCTATGACATCTAAATCCCTTAAGTATGGCTGTAAAGGTTTTGGGATYAAAGTTAAACGATTGTCATCCAGGTAAAGCTGTTTAAGACAAGCTAACTGGGTCAAACCAGTAGGCAAAGACGCTACCATGTTATCACTCATTACAAGAATTTCTAACTTGTGCAAAGACAGAATTTCATCTGGTATACTTTGGAACTTATTTCCAGCTAAATTAAGATACCATAGTMCTGTGAGATAATGCAGACTGCTTGGTAAACTGGACAAGTTATTGTACTTCAAGTTGAGTGACCGTAACTTGTACAAATGACTCATACTGTAAGGCAATGAGCTTATCTTGTTACAGCTCACATCTAATACCTCAAGYTGTACAAGCGTGCAGATCTGCGCCGGTAGATACTCRAGAGAATTATTCTTGATAAACAACTCTGTTAAATTCCGCAAGGTGAAGAATTTGTAAGGAAAACTAACGATGTTATTGGAGTTGAGTAAAAGGACTTGAATTTGAGGAATTTCCATTACTTCGCTGGGGAATTCTTTGAGTTTTAAAGAGCTTAAATCAAGCGTTAGTTTCCTGTTTTTTAGTTGTACGTCAGGGAGAACAAATGTGGTGTAGTTGATGTCTTCAATGTCGACTGGCCAACTTGTGTCAATGTCTGCTTTTCGTTGCTCCCGATCGGGCTCAAARTCRCCGGATTGGTTTTTGCAGCATTTRGAYCCCATTGTAGAATTATAACYGTACTAKTTGGTARACGTTGCTATATCAGTGCWAARSTTTGATGAATGATATGAATTCAATTAACTTCGATGCCATTAAACAGCCCCGCTGTGCTATACCATTTGTTGTACGAACATTATTCTTTATCCATAATGAAGCCAATGTATTTTTCCAGTTTCTTCATGCTGTATTTAGCTTTATCTCGTGARTTCAATGGACAGGATTACACAGCTTAAAATATGAAAATTCATTCTCATATTTCTTTCTCATTCATTCATACCCTTTTCCCATGTTCTCAAACTATGCACTTGTCTGAATTTTAAACCAGATTTCGTCGMAATTTCTTGGTTTCCTTCAGAAATACAGACTAAAATATAGCTTGATGCTAAAAACCTGACATGAMTKCATATCAAAAAGTGTTTAATCGCTTGAGCCAATCAGATGACAGGATTTACGGGTTACATGCCAACCTACAGGTGTAAGTTGCTTAGCAACCGCTTTCTAGCTTTGTTTAGAGTTTAGAAATAAAGTGCATACTAATAAAACGATTGTTTTCTGTTGTCTTGTCAACGCTCTTAAGAGTGAATTATCACTATTTGTTTCATGTATTTAGTGCTCTTGAACTGCTGTAGTTTTATGACATCCGTGAAATGCCTTTTAGCGTCTATATATATAGGTAATTGGTTTGTTTATAGTATACTCCCTTGAATAAACACGACCAAATTAAATATGATTAATAATTACTAATAGTCTAACTGAATTCTTATTGGCTACTCTTCTAGACGTCAAATTGTGATAGACCACTAGTAGAGGAAAAATGACAGATCAAAACAATAACAACCCCGTTGAACGACAATTGGTGATGTTTTGACTGCAAATAATAAACAATGAACTGCATAAACCATGAAAACGATAGAAAAAGGGATTCATAGAAACGGAGATAACGACACAAMKATTTTTTCCAAATTCTTTATTGYTAATTAGTTCATAAAACGCACGTGACAAAAAGCAATGCAGCTTAGATKTTCCWAACCCTMCCCTCCCTGACTTAAAAACTTTTATKGTTTCACCCTGAACCTCCGAGYGCGCATGCTCTGCTATCTCAGTCACTTTGGATCAAAAACCRGGCTGAAAAAGGGTTTTTATCAASCATGTGKGAYAAGCTAAGAAAACATTAAGGCATGCGTAATGGAGTCAAATTTTATACACAGTAAAACTAACTTGTTCATACATACAATATGACCRAACGTAGGTTATACAAATTGTTCATTAGCGAATATCATTCAAAATTCATCGTTATTTATTAATATTTATAACTACCACATTTAAACTTACAAATCTTTATTATGTGCTTGCTATATTTGCAAAGCTGCCATAAGCAGCCATCTTGATAATATTACGTGACATTTCATGTAACGCAATATCAATACAAGGATACTTTTGGCGTGACATCAACCTCTTACAAATGCAGACCACAAAGACAGCGATCAGTCAAACTATAACTACGTCGAAAAAAAATGTGCGTGACAAGTGTCACGCCACAGTCATAATGTCACGCGCACATTCAAGATGGCTGCCTCGTCAGAAGAAATACTCACAAACGCACAGCCAATGAGCTTTAGATGCAAWTTTTTCCATTAAATACGACATTGAATTGGATGCTTAAATTATTGATACATGGAACCTTGTTACAAAATACTGAGGTCCGTCATAATGATTATTTAATGATTAATTGATAACCATTGATGATTAATGAATACGATATTATAAGATTATATGAACGGATAACATTCAATTGACGAATTGTAACGAATAATATTTGTCACAGGGTAGAAAAATAACTTTCATTACTAGTTGTGTGACATATGCTTGTTCATCCAACTGCGTGACAGATTCAGAAAAAAATGATATAAAAATATGCAAAGTCCATGAAAAAAAACATTTGACAGTCAAAATGTAATATAATAAGTCTACATACACGAAAACAATGGATTATTTCACGGGTTATGAGACTTCACTCTGRTATATCACATATAAATCTAAATCATGTTTTAACCGATTACGTGACAGTAATATGTGACATGTCACGCTATTGAGGAATATATGAAGGAATAGAACCAACCATTTGAGGCATGCCTGGTTGTGCTACTGTAGGAGCATAGCCGACGACAGGCTGCACAGTTGGCATAGGCTGCATCGGTAGGTATGTGGGCTGTGGAGGTAAACCACTGACCGGTACCATTTGWACCTGTGGGCTCATAACTGGTACTTGTCTTGGTGGCATCATCATACCAGGCATACTGGTCATTCCAGGAATAGTTGCAAAGTACTGGTTTTGTTGCTGGATTCGGGTTTCGTTGGCTTTAAGTTCTTGTTGTTGTGCTTTTATTTGCTTTTCAAGTTCTTTCTGTTTTTCCTGCGTTGGAAACTTCACATTAGTCGATCTTGCTAAACTTCTGTCCTGTCTGCCTGTCTTTCCTGCTTTACTGGCTCGTCTGACTAGTCATCCTCATCACTACGGGTCATTTCTAAAGGTTGCTTATCATTTACTATCATATGCGAGCTGAAAACAAGGTCTGTATCACAGTAAGGTACTGTCAACCTGTCCAGTTGCTTGTTTAACTTGTAAGACTGACATCTTAAGACTGCTAAGCACTTGACATATAAGCACCGCAAATGAAAGTCTGTTTTATGGAGTGAGCAGATTAAACCAGAATGTCGAAAAACAATGAAGCAGAGAAGACTCTCTTTGTAAGTTGCATCCGTATTAATCGATACTCGCTCGTAAGTAATTATGATCGATATTTGTTCGGAGTACTAAGCGACGCGCGTTTTTTTTTTGTAAATCGTAAACAGAAATCGAATCACTGTCTATCGCTAAAACATACAAACGTAGTTGTACCTCAAGTTCGTCTTGTTTCTTTCTTTTCTGCAACTCTTCGTAGTCTCTCTTGTGTTCTTCTAATTCACGTTTTTGCATCTGCATTCGTTCCAAAAGAGCAAACTGTTTCTCGTGTTCCTAAGATGGAGAATCAAATTCAAATGAAATAGATATTAACTCATCAACACAACCTTTCTTAGCAATGTTAGTTTAATAAAACTGTACAGCAATCTGGGGTAAATACACACCATCAGAAGTTCTTGCTGTTTTTTCTGTTCTGCAAGAATCGCCTCGACT